TAAGGCCGGGCACAGTGGCTCACGCCTATAATCCCAGCACTTTGGGAGGCCGAGGCAGGTGGATCACTTGAGGTCAGGAGTTTGAGACCCACCTGGCCAACATGGTGAAACCCCGTCTTTACTAAAAATACAAAAAATTAGCCGAGCATAGTGGCAGGCACTGGTAATCCCAGCTACTCGAAAGGCTGAGGCAGGAGGATCGCTTGAACCCGGGAGGTGGAGGTTGCGGTGAGCTGAGATCACACCACTGCACTCCAGACTGGGCAACAGAGCAAGAATCAATCTCAAGAAAAAAAAAAAAAAGACTATTTAAAATTATTAAAATAATTAATTTACCAAGCACAGCAGGGCTGCAAATTCACTACTGTTAAGAATTCTAATATGTCTTAAATAGTATATTTTAAATCAGTTTAAATCTTTATGTGTGCTAAAATATAAATGCCTTCTCTTTATTTTCAGTGGACAACTGAATACCAGATTTTATTTTACTTTTTTCAACTTAACTTTAGGGGTATATGTGCAGGATGTGTAGGTTGGTTACACAGGTAAACATGTGCCATGGTGATTTACTACACAGGTCATCCCATCGCCCAAGTATTAAGCCCAGCGTCCACTGGCTATTCTTCCTGATGCTCTCCCTCCATCCCCAACAGGTGCCCAGTGTGTACTGTTCCTCCCCATGTGTCCATGTGTTCTCATCAATCAACTCCCACTTGTAAGTGAGAAAATGCATTGTTTGGTTTTCTGTTCCTGCGTTAGTTTGCTGAGGATAGTGGCTTCCAACTCTATCCATGTCCCTGCAAAGGACAGGATCTCATTTCTTGTTATGGCTGCATAGTATTCTATGGTATATATGTACCATATTTTCTTTATCCAGTCTATCATTGACAGACATTTAGGTTGATTCCTTTAGGCTGATGACTTTGCTATTGTTAATAGTGCCACAGTGAACTTACGTGTGCATATATCTTTATAACAGACGGATTTATATTCGTTTGAGTATATACCCAGTATTGGGATTGCTGGGCCAAATGTATTTCTGCCTCTAGGTCTCTGAGGAATCCCCACACTGTCTTGCACAATGGTTGAACTCTTTTACACTCCCACCAGCAGTGTAAAAGTTGAACATCCGATTTTTCCTTCAAATCTCTCACAGTAGAAAAGGCAATGATTTTGAGCAAAATTCTTATATATTAGTATTATCTCTTTACTGTGCTCATCCATATTTCTTGGCTCAGTACCACAGCATTTGTTGAGTGAGGGAGATTCGGCCAGATTGATACTTGTAAGCACAACATGTGAAATATTATTTCCTGAAATGATATCATCACTAAATGACATAATGCTGAAACTCAGACATTCTGAGAGGTAAGTCAGACTGTAGTGTGCTGTTTTAATATGGATTGACATTTTCTTCATAGCCCTGCTTTTTTAATAGTCTACTCATCACTTCCTTCTGTGCATTTTCTTATGTGGAATGGTTTGGTCTATTATTACTGAATCTGTACTTATTCTTCTGTATAAATTAAATAACTAAATAAATTATACCATGAAATTAATGTGTCCCTCTCAAAATCAGTACCATGCTGTCTCCAGATTGGAAGCATTTTGTTCAACATTTTCAGATACAATCCAGGGGCTTTGAGGCCAACTGAGAAGACAAGGGGAAATGAGTCCCAGTTGAATCCCAGAATCCTTTGCATTTGCACCTTGGAAAGCGGAGAGTGTAAGAGGCTGGTTAGAGGAACCTGAAGAGAGGTTCCCCATGCATATGAGATAAGGAGTTTTTGGAGAACTAAGATGACTAATAATTATAGCTAACAGCAGGAATACATATATAATTATATTCACACACAATGTATATTTGTATGTACATATATATACACATCTATAAATATACATAAATATTCATTTTTGCTTTAAAGATATAGTATTTAAACTTATTCTTGTTTAGATATTTGCTCATCTTCAAATAATTAACAGAGGTTAACATTCAAAGTGAAAAATGACCTAGACATTCCAATAGATGACAAGTTAATAAAAGCCAGTACAAATGTGACTCCTTAAAAATTAATACCAAAAAAGTTAATACTATGGCTTATTAAAGTGGAAGTAAAATGCTCAGTTCAAGAATGGTTATAACTATGCTGTGGTCAGTTAATTTCTCTGAAGACAATGGGGTCAAGCTACAATTATGCCAATTTTGTTGATATTTTGTAAGAACCGCCTTTTGCTTTTGTTGTTTTTCTCTACTATTGTTCTGTTCTCTATTTCATTTATTTCCACTGTGATCTTTATTAGTTCTTTCATTCTGCTTGCTTTGGATTTAATTTTCTCCTCCTTTTTACAGTTTCTTAAAATGTTATGTTATTTATTTAAGATTTTTTTTTTAACTTAAATGCCTGTAGCTATAAATTTTCCTCTACTAAATAAATTTTTTAAATTCCCTTTATTGCTTTAGCTCCATATCACAAATTTTAATATGTTGTATTTTTCTCTTACATTTATCTCAAAACATTGTCTGATTTCCCTTGTGATTTCTTCTTTGCCCTATTGATTATTCAGGAGTAATCAATAAATAATCTTATTTAATTTTCACATAGTTTTGAATTTCCTAAATT